GCTCACGGTGGCTGAGAGTACCGAGGACAGAAAGGGATGGTGAGAGGAGGGAAGAAAGGGTGCATCAATGGGAGGACGGCTTTCGCCCACTATATATAGAGCATCGCGAACACCAATGGCGTCATGGACGAAGGAGCTGGGGACGAGATCGAAGGCCAGGCAAGAATGGATATGGTGAGATAACCGTCGGTCGGCACACAGGGAGGCATATATGTGATAGATGTGGATGGAACAGTACATATACATCGGACACCGGTTTAATACTATCGATCGACGTCAAACGGCCCATTGTACATATAGAACGGCCCATTGTATATATAAAACGAGCCAATCGATGTATGTAACGAGCCATTTTAGACGCCGAGCTGTCATCTAAATCGCTCCGAAAAGACGGCATCAGACGGCAACAGCCAGCAATCTTTGGCAATAGGCGGGGTTTTCACTGGGACTTGACACTCGTGAAGATCAAGTCTATTCCTGCTACTACAGATCATTAAACCTCTGACGTGCTCGGGAACCAAGCCGTCATAGTGCACTGCTACACAGTACAGATGTGAGTACTATCGTTTCATATAAGGTACTGGGCAGTCTGCTCAATTGAATATACCTGACATCGTAACAGCGCACTTCCTACGCTCGGCCTTGATAGCCCTAGGCCTGGCGAGTCGGAAGGGGAACAAGCGCACGGTCGCATCTTGAGGCCGTGACTACTACCGTAGTCCGTGCTTGTACGGCGAAGGAATGAGATCGGCAAGATTCATCGGAACGCCCTCTGCCACAATGTGGTTGTTCGCAGCAGTCTTCGAAACCTAGACGCATACTTTTTGCAAATCACGGGCCCCGGTTCCTCGTTGCAGTGTCATGGCGAACGGCTTGGGAACTATGCTTGCCTCGGCCTCTATAAGTAAATATTTGACCTTCCGAGTCCCGGGATAAGAGCTACGTTCCTCCACCTCACCAACTCGACAAGTCATGGCAGACAGACCATCCGTCAGTCCCCTCAGTGCTTGCTCCCATTATGAATGCTTACATATAGGTGACGGTGTTCCTTGCGCGACTTATTCGACTTGCCTGCCTTATTCCAGCGATCTTCTCTTCCTCCATCCACGAGAGCGCTACCCCAGCCTCCTCAAGCCATCCGACCTGAAGATGGCTTTGCTGAAACAACGGAACTACTCAATACTTCTGAAACTAGCTTTCAGCAGTATGCAGGTCATCGCAGTGTGCATATGCTAAATACAGTCGGTGTGTATCCCGTATAGAGCAATGTGATCGTGTCAGGGTTTACTGAGGACCTCGATGACAGGGGATACGCTGAGTGTCCTCCAAACCGACGTCTCGACCGTGCAGAGTCTCGCATCTCCCTTACAGCTCGCCATGTCTACCGAGCCCGGGAAAGAGATACGGCAGATGATTTCTGATATTGTGGACGGCATCCCGGCGTTGCTGAAGGTGCTGGATGATGTTGCTCAGATCCACCCTTTCATCAAGAGTCAGTCACATTCGCTTATCGTGTTTGTTTGTACTGACGTTATTTCTTTTCGCGCAGTCGCTGTGGGTGCGTTTAGAGTCGCCGTCGAACTCGACCTAAAACGGAGGGATAATGACAAGAAGATACCCGTACTCTTCGCCGAGATGAGGGATATGATGGCTGTGCTTGTGCAGTACGTCAAGCGGTTGGCCCGCTCGTACAGTTGTACTGAACACTCCCATCTTAGACTCAAAGACATCAGCAAGGACAAGCGTTCTGGAGAAGACAACACGACGATATCCGGTCGTATGCAACACCTCATCGACAGCACAGAACAGGATATCAGGAAGTGCGCCAACTCATGTAATGCGTATGCCAAGAAGAAGACGCTGTCGAAGGTCATACATAGCTCGTCTTGGAGCGACGAGTTCAAGGGGTATATTCAAGGCTTCATGACTCGCCGGGGCGAGTTTGAGTTCACGCTGTCGCTCTACATTGGCCACGCAGTAAACACCGCCAACGACAAACTCGTGAGCCTCGAAGAGAAGTGCGTGGAATGCCAGTGCATCCTCTGGTGGCGACCCTCCTCACTGTTTGCTTACTCAGGATGGATCGCGTTCTGCGATACTTCGAAGCATGCACGTCGCCAGAGGAACGCGAGCTCAGCAGGCTCGTCGACCTGCATGGCGGACCTCAAGCGGTGATGCGGGACCAGGATCTACTGCGAGAGATCTTCGAGACGCGAGTCACCGGGGCAGGACTATCTGGTCCCGAGCGTAGAGGCCGTCAAGGTGTCGTGGACGAATTCAAGGAGCTGCAAGAGGAGCTTCAAATGGACGTCCAGACAGCCATCCGTGACAACATGGAGCAGTTTCAAGCGAAATTTATCATTCAGCAGAGGGAGCTTGAAGAGCAGATGCGGCGCACGATGCACCGCGAAGGAGATCGCATCATCGACACGATCATCTCTGGTCCTCATGACAAGATCTTGGACCCGGTGAGCTAACTTATCTGCGTAGATCGGTGTAATTTTGCTCACCTCTGTCCCTAGGACCTTCACGATATATGGAAGGAGATGGTGCGTGATCAAAATACTGTCGCCAGGAGACTAGCTGAACAAGACGTTGCAGCGTTGGCGTGGAAGCGTGAAAGACCGATATTTCGTCCTCGCGATCCGCGACTACTTCCGTGAGGAGCTTGATCAGCTCAAACGGATGGAGATGAACGCTACACCGACCGTCTCGAGTCGCCAATTCAGCCAGGAGGATGAGTGGACGGTGGAGTACATCAACGTCACACGAGTCCAACCCATCATCGAGGCCTTCGACGACGATGCTTCTGGGTTCATCACTGCAACAGAGGTCAATGCTTTCACTACCGCTCGCCCCGATAGTTGGAGGTATGACGATATGTTCTCATCTACGCGGTCTGGACTCTGAATCTTATCGAACGATCACTATCAGCCTCCTACATTGGCTGGCCTATTGGGCTATTGGTGAGACGCAGAGGCATAGTAACACGCAGACACGATTGTTGAACCCACGACTTCAGGTTTTCAAATGTCAATGAGCGATTACGCATCGAAAATCGACGTCCTGCTAGCTAAGATGTTTGCTCTCAAGCCCCACGTTCTACCCGCTAACCGCAACGCGATGGAACGCTACCTTTGGGTTGTTTGGACCTGCGTCACCATGCTCACCAACGCGTTTCGCCGGATGGATGTTGACGAAGCGCTCTTATCCAAGTTTGACGACTACACTAAATCGGAGGAGAATCGTCTGCTCAAGAATTTGGAGACTGCAAAGTATGACATCGATGCACGGGACACTCTGGAGTTGATCTGTGGTCCTGGTCGGATCGAGAAGGTACCACTTCTGTTTTCGGGGATAATAGAGTCTCATCGGCCCCTTTTCTAGCATTTGTTCCCTTTGCTCTATCTCCTACTGAAACGTGACTTCGAAATCATGAGACTCGCTCGAACACAATGCCTGAACGTGGACGAGTTATACGACTCGATGTGCACCATAATCTGGGTCATTGAAGCGGTCGACGAACGCCACGACGAATTGGCAGGTATGTTCTAACCAGTCTGTTCGCGTGTTCTGAGGGCTGAAAATACTGTGGAGCTCTGTTCAAACAGCAGAAACTAGACCCTGCGCAACAATTCAAGATCTTCGCTTTCGAGATGGTACGTCGTTCAATCGTTCTAGTGCCAAGAGGTGCAGCTGATTGACATGAATCGGCGATAGTTCAAGTATTGGAATGATGAAGCAGAAATCTGGTCAATGAAGAATCTCAAGGACGCGAAGTTCCTCGAGGTTCCGTACGATGATAGCTCAGAGTCCCAAGACGTCGATCCCGCATCTTTCATCAATCACCCTCTTCTCAACACCGATGATGTCTTCTCGGCGTACAAGATCGTGGAGACGGAAGCTGATGCCCAGGCGGACTCTTCCGTCCAGAGCATGTAAGTCTCTCTCCTCTGAGGCTTTGGTGTGATTGTCTCGATCCGGCGTGTACACCTTTGCTCACCGTCTTCCCAGCTTAGGTCACTGGTCTGGTTTCTGCGCTCAAGGCGATCGATATCCGTCACAATCCATGCTCTCCCTCGATATCGATGTCTCCCCGTCCAACCCGAAGCGATTTCAGTGCAAAGGAACAGCGCCGAATGGCACAAACTGGGAATTGACGGGCGAGCAGGAGATCTCACAAGACGGGACAATGCAGTACTCGTTCAGCATCAAGTACGCCGCCCGCTTTTCTACGCAAAATTTCTGCGGCGAACTAGATGAGACGGGGACGATGCTTTCCGGCTCTTGGGGATACAGCGACAAACCTTTCACCTTCATGTTGAAACGTCTTCCCTCCGACCTCATGCGCTTCTATCCCTCGCCCAAGGAGCTTGCTGAGAACAAAGCTCAAGCACTGTGGCGATTCGTAACCTCCGCCATTCGTGCACAAGTGCAACTCAAAATGCGGTCGTGGACGTCACTTAGAGGGCGGTGGCAGACGGGCCAACGTTACATCGAGCTCATCATGAGCCGAGAGACTCGCGAACTCACGCCGGGGGAGACCGTGGACCTCGCTTTGTGTCAGCGATCCATGACGCCGGAGGAAGCGCGGCTATACCAAATATTCAGGGACATGCGTGAGAGGTCCATTCCAGTCCATTTGTACGTTCCCACTTTCCCCGCACCTTTGAATGCTCTGACGACAGTCCTTCGAATGAAGCCTGATCTGGTGCGATGCATGCGGTGACGGCATTAAGGGCGGGCGTATCGTATGCCTATCCTGTGGCATGAAGGACTCGATCGACTTGTGCGACAAGGAGAAATGCTCTGCATCGGAAGTTCGCCGCGAAGATCTGACTTCTCCCCATCTCCCGTCTCACGATATCCTCAAGCTCCGAGCAGCGATTCATCCGTTCCGTGAGTTTGGGAAGGTATACCGCGATGCTCAGGAAGCCTTGAAGATGGCTCGTGAATTCTTTGCTGAAGCAGCCAACTCGGATGAAGGTGCCGAAGGCGAACAACCGCAGTGTGTGCAGTGTCGTGACCGAGTGACCCTTCCATGCTGGTTGTGTATAGAATGCGAAGGTATGTCATGTCGAACTCAACTTGGTCATAGAAGGTACCTTATCGGAAATGGTGTTGTTGCAGAACGTGTCTTTGTATGCGCTTCGTGTGATTCCAAGCAGCGTCTCGGAATCACGGTAGGCAAGCACAAACGAACGCACGCACTCGTCCGGTGTCAACCACCAGAGGCGTCCGTCGATGCCGAGTCCAGACATGCAGCACAGCTCAACGCTCGCATAGACAACCTGGAGACGAAGCTCAAGGAGATCAATCACAAGATGGAGGACAGCTTCAGCGCAGTAGACGACCGGATCACCGTCGTACAAGACCGCCTCAGCGGGAAGATTGACGATCGGCTGCAAAGTCTCTCAAAGACCGTGGACGAGCGACTAGGACGCATGGAAGACCTACTGCTTGTCTTGGGGCAGCGGCTGCTAGGCACAGCGGATGAGCGGCTCGAATCGGGTGTGCCGTCCTCGCAGCTGCTGAGGCGTCAATCGACCTGGCCGACCGCCCGTCTCGGAGTAGCGAACGGCGAGTCCAGTGGTGGATCCGAGAGTGAGTTCTCGGCATGGGTGAGGCAGATGAGGAGGGGGACGTGACTACATGGGCGACGGTATTCGAGGAAGTGGTAAGGCAGACGTTTTGTGGGATTCGGTGCTTCTTGGGACGGCAAGAAAACGATCCAAATACCAAAGTCACGTCAGGCGCGACTGTGTCGTAGATGTTTGCTACATATGATGAATATGTGCAACGCCGATAGAGCCTGTAAGAACGCTTGGAATGACCATTGGGGAGGCAAAGGAGACTCACCGCGGCTACTTATGCATGTACTGATGGCCAAATAAAACGTCTAAGCTCTGTTCATGGTGAGTAGCGTCGATTGTTCCGAGTCACAAGCGCAGTGGGAAGATTACAGCCGGTTTCAGCTCGCTTGTCGTGAGAGCGCCGCGCCGCATCTCACGCATTTGCCTGCTTTCCCCTCCTAAGCGCCCCCAAAGGAACTTCGGACGACGATATCTCCTCGACAGCTCAATGTAACCACTTCATTCTTGCGTATTCTGGCTCAGGATTACGACGCGCAGGGCACGGTATTGTATTGAAGTTGCGCCAACTCGACGTCACCAACTTCTGGGCATTCCCGCTCTTCCAGCTCCCTACTCGACTCGGACAGCGTTGTTGGCTGAATGGTATGGCGTACTCTCCCGTAAATTGTCGGAATGGTGAAGACAAGACGCTACGGAGGGCTCTGTGTCAAAAGGCGGAGTGTCCAGCGACAATCACGTCCACCATAGGGTGGGCTCGGGTGGCAGCCCTCTTGGGCCAGCTCAAAGTCCTCGTCGGGGAGCACCAGACACCATGACTTTGTGAGTAATCTGCACCTCCATAATCTCTGTGGTCTTGCAAGGCATTAGGGGCCATGTGGTCACTGTTGAGTAGGAGGGAGGAACAGACGAGGTGGGTAGATTGGAGCTGCAAAGGAGAGCTTGTAGAACACTACAATTGGCAACCAGCACGATTACATGGGTTTGTAGGCTTACAGTGGACATATGTGACATGTTTCGTAGCAAAGATATGTTGGATTTGACGATATACGACAGAGTGGTATACTAGGCATGTGCGAGAACCATTCGCAGAATGGAGAAAACGTACATCATGGACTCTTCTGCACCATATGCCCTCCGTAACATCCGCCCACAGCTACCAGTGAGCCTTCCAGGTATCTCCAGGGGTTCTTTTAAGGTATATGCGCGACAGATGCAGAAGACAGCGTGAAATCGACCGAAGGCGGGTGGAACATCCGACATACGAGCGGCCAACTAAAAACCGGCACCGTGCCCTGCGCGTCATTATCCTGAGCCGGAATATGCAAGAATGAGGTGGTTACATTGAGCAGTCGAGGAGATATCGTCGTCCGAAGTTCCTTTGGGGGCGCTTAGGAGGGGAAAACAGGCAAATGCGCGAGACGCGGCGCGACGCTCTCACGACAAGCGAGCTGAAACCGGCTGTAGCAAGGACGTCGGCGGCCGCATCCCGGACTCCCGCCGTGCCGCATCTCGAAGGAAGGTGTCGAGCGATGTGTACGCTCATAATCTGGAAATTGTGCATGTGTCTATTATTGTGAAAGCCTTCGGGGATGAGCGATGGTTCAGTAAGTCTCAGCAAGGTGGAGGTAGTGGTCAGAAGACAGGTCACTTGCCCCCGAATCGACGCCGAGCGCGGCTTGCTTCCATACCACCACCTCCTCTCCGTCGTCTCGCTCGTCTCCGACCACATTCTCGTCGTCTCTGACAGACTGCAGCTACTCGAGTGGCCGAATCAAACAGAAGTAAGGAGAACGACTCGGAACTGACGGGCATCGACGGAGTAGAGACTGGCGCTGCGTGGGCCATCCCCCAAGGTCAGTCTCGCAATATGTCTCCCTCTCATCTTCATTTGCCCTATCATGGATCTTTTCTTTAGCTCTCAGCTCTGCTTTTTCCCCTCCTCAGACATCGTTTAATCAAAGCCGCTGAGAAGGACGTGCCGCTCGAGTCGTGTGGAGCACACTATTGCATCTTACCCACCAAGGTGCGTCGCAGATCTTTCGTCTACTTTCTTGCGCTAAGTACGAGCCCTGAACCTCGTCCCAGATCAAATCAGTCCACTCGAGGTGTTTGACGACATCTCTTCTCGCACGACATTCCCACTATGTCTGCACGACAGTCTCGCTCAGCAAGCATACCGATACCCCCTAGTTCTGTCACGCGCAGCTTGGAAAGCGTGATACCCATGTCATTCAGCCCTTCGCCTGCACCGCGAATGGCGCGTGTTCCCAGTGGTGGTACGTCTGTCAGCTTCAACTTGGGCCGGAGTGTCCCGCCACCCATGCGATCTGCCTCGACAAGCTATGCATCTGCAACCATGACAGCCGTTGCCGTTCCTCGCGGGCGCACCTCTGGTCCTGCCCAAGCTAACTCTCCTCCTGCATTTGAGCCGCGCATCATCGGCGGCGCGACATCTCCCACCCCGTCTCGTGATCCGGCTTGTAACCCTCCGTACTCTCCGTCTACGTCTCCAGCGCGTCCTCGACGCTTGAGCTCTGGTATCCGCACCCAGTCTGCTGTCAGCACAAGCCCGGTTGCCCATCGTGTACCTCCCCCTAGTAATGTGGGCCATCCCCCGATCCATAGCTTCCCGCGGCCGGCGTATTTGGACAATTCTTCACTGCGGGACATGCTTCACACGGAACCCGCGCCATCCGTCATTGCCAACAGCTCTCGCCCTTCAAGCTACGCAGCGTCTAGCCACGACGTTCGGGCAGGCACCAGCCCTCCCCCCGCGACGTCCTATTCGTATTTCCGTCGGGAGGTCACCCCTGCGGGAGACAGCGATGACGAGAGCATCGTTGCTACCGCGAGTCCTCCGCCCGCTGTGGGCGCGGTTACTGTACTCAGCACGAACACTATACTAATGCTGCCGACTAGGTGGAGCGAGCAGGACCGTACCCCCGCGTTGAGCGTGTCGCTTGATGGGCGGGACCTGATATTTACCGGCCCCTCTTGCATGGGTGACCGCGAGTCTGGTGCAGCTCGGGCGAACCACGCTATCCCTCCCGCATGTGGGATCTACTACTACGAAGTAGAGATCCTGCACAAGTGTCCGAAGGGGTACGTGCCCCACTGACTGGCACTATCGCCATTGCTGACATTCTCCCACAGTCCCATCAGCATTGGGTATGTCTAGATGACCTAGGCTGGGCCAGATGGCTAACCTTGCAACAGCTTCTCTGCGCCCGATGTGCGGCTGTCGCGACTGCCCGGATGGGAGAAGAACAGCTGGGGATATCATGCTGACGATGGCTGGGCTTTCCCCGGACACAAGGATGGCAGTCCGTACGGTCCAACGTTCGATAGTACGTGTGCTTGGTCGCTTTTCCCAGGTTGACGATCCTGACCCTCGTTGACTGCAGCCGGGGACGTCATCGGCTGCGGAATCGACTTCAGTGTGAACAGAGTCTTCTACACCAAGAATGGAGGCTTCCTCGGTACGCGGACCGTTATCGGTCGCATAGGCTCCTGTGCGCTGTTTTTGACCTGCCTTCTCTGTCTCAGGGACGGTGTTCGAGAACGTCGGGAAGACGACGGAAATCTACCCGTGCATAGGGATGAGGCAGACGAACGAGTCTATACGGGCGAACTTCGGTGACTCGCCGTTCCGGTTCGCCATCGAAGAGCATGTGCGGGCGCAACGAGATGCTGTCTGGGGGAACATCATGAGCACGCGAGTTGACTGGAGCTTGCTCGGACTCGGGCCGAGGAAGACGGAGGAAGAGCGCAAGGCCGAGGACGTGAAGGCGGCGGCAGAGAAGGAGAAGGGCGTTGTCGAGGACGAAGAGGAGTCTCGTGCGCCCCTCCGCAAGCTTGTCTTGGCATACCTCGCCCATCACGGATACGCACGCACGGCGCGGGCGTTCCAAAGGCAGTGCGCAGAGCGTACCGCCGCTATGGCCAACAAGGCCCCCGTCCAGCCCAAGACGGAACTACATGATGACGAGGACGTCAAGATGGCGGTCGACGACGCCCCTGCCGTCGCGAGCAACCCGGTGCCTAGCGCGGCTTACGACCTGGATCCTGACTTCAGGTTCGACAGTGAGCTGAATACACGCTTATCGATCACGAACGCCATCGTGCGCGGGGAAATCGACACCGCACTCTCGCTCATTAGTGAACACCATGTGACCGTGCTCGAGCGCGAACAGGGGCTCGTCCTCTTCCGCCTCCGCTGCCGTAAGTTCGTCGAGCTTGTCCTCGCGGCCGGTGAGGCGCTCCGCCGCGTCAAAGAGGCCGAGCGCACCGTCGCGGGTACGCCGGAGCCTGCTCCGCCCGCCAGTCCCGCTGTGGACGGGGAGGACGTGATGGGGACGATGGATGGATTGGGCGCGATGGACGTGGACGACCCATCGCCGGAGGCCCACCCTGAGTCGTCCATGTCCGTCTCGGGCCCCATCGCCGCTCCAACACCCTCTGTGCTCTCCGCTCCAACTGCCATGTCCTCTGTTCCGTCCCCCGTGGCGACACCCGTGCAGGACATGCACGCCGCGCTGGCAGCGGCGGCGCGCACATCGCTGCACACTGCGCTCAGCTACGGCCAGACGCTCGAGGCGGACTACAAGAGTGACACCCGGCCTGGGGTGCGTGCGCATCTGCGGCGCACATTTGGCGTTGTCGCGTACGACGATCCGATCGCGGCTGGCGGGGAGGTCGCAGAGATCGCTGGGCAGGCAGCAAGGAACGCCCTCGCGGCGGAGGTAAACCAGGCCATCCTTGGTGAGCTCTGCGTTCGCTTGCGTATGGACGTCGTGTGCTCATAGATATGTGCGTCTGTAGAGTCGCAAGGCCGCCCGGCCCACCCTGCGCTCGAGACGCTGTTCCGGCAGGCAGGGGCCTGTGTGACCCAGCTCGGCTTGCTGGGAGTCGGCTCGGCTGCGTTCGCGGACGTGCGCAGGGAGTTCATCGAGGGGTAACACTTGGAGAAAGGCAGGAAGCGCAAAGTACCGCGGAGGATTGTATAATACCATTTTTCTCGCTCTAGCTGTGAACTCGACTCGGTTCGTGCTGTCTTACGCATGCATGATATCTGTACTATTGCTACTATGTGAGATAGGATAGCTGTTACTTGTACGTATTACTAGCTGCTGTGTAGGTTCGAATGATGCATCCCCTCGACTCAATGTGCTTCTTCTGGCTGGTGAACGCTTCGCGCTTGAGAACAGGGACATGCAAGACAAACGTTAAATTCAGCAACAGTATCGTACAGTACATCACCTCTGATACAATCTTCATCCGATCTACGCAGCTCCTGCGAGTTGCACATACACCGCAGCAACCGCAACACCCAGAGCAAAGGCAACTACAAGTTCCTGGACCCGTCGGACCCCTGTGGCATGACCGCCCTTCCCCGCAACGTTCGCAGTACTGTTGACCACGACTGTCCCATCCTCTGCGTTGTCTGCCTTCTTCATCACGTCCGTGCATTCCGGCGTTTTCTCCACACCCGGGGCGGTGGCAAGCCCGGGGAGGCCGTCGATGCTATGCAGGTTCTTCTCCTCCCAGTACGCCTTGAGACCCTTTCCCCCCTTCTGTTCCGCGAGCTCGCGCTTGTCCCAGTAGTCGAGGAGGACCTGGCGGTGGCCACGGAACTCGTAGTACGGCACTGCGTACCCGCACGACTACAGCGACGTCGTCAGCATCAGGACTGGTCAGAAGAGCTACTGCAGAGGCGTACCGAACCGACTTTGTGCACGTCGACCACAATCGCCGCGCGCGAGCCCGGCCTCCGCTTCTCGGGCGGGATGAGCTCCTCGTACGCCCGCGTCCCGAACTCGTGCACGGTCCCCGTCCCGAACAGCCTGACGATCCGCGGCGGGCCCTCGAACGCGGCGAACATGAGCGTGATCCGGCCGTTCTCGCGCAGGTGGGAGATCGTCTCGACGCCGCTGCCCGTCAGGTCCTGGTACCACACGCGCGTGGGGGAGAGGACGTGGAAGGAGTCGCGGACGCCCTTGGGGGAGACGTTGATGTGCTGCTCGGGGCTGAGGGGCGCGGTGGCGACCCAGAAGAGCTCTTGTTTGAGCAGCCAGGGGATGAGCTCTGGGGGGATCTCGTCGTAAAACTTGCCCATGGCGATGCTTTCAAGTTGGGCTCGGGCAAGGGGGCAGCGATATTTAGCTGCCTGTAAGTACAGTCGGCCGAAGAACACCTGACGCCAGTGCAGCAATCCGGACTGAGGAGCACAAGCTACACACTGCACACGACAGCGGCTGGAACCTGGAGGAAAGTGACTCGAGCCTCGAGGCGCGATCAATCACCCTTGGCAAGGCCTAGTCATGTGAACGGACTCGTGGAGATGTCCTTGAAAGGTTCCACCGATGATCTCTTGCGCCAGGAGAGTACATGCTCTATGTAGGACTCACATCTCATTGTCGTTCGTAGATCGTCCACTCGGGCAATTGAATGGTCCAGTATAGTGGTTCAGATCCGACAAATCGGACAAATGAGGTTGTTGCGCAGTCGCTGACGAAAGTCTACGTAACGAGCAGGAAAAGACATGCTAGAATGCGAGAGGTGCTGAAGAGACATATGCAGGCATGTGAGTGCAAGACGGATCGAGCTCGACGATGCAGTCGGAGGGCTTAGACTCGGAGCTTGCAGGACAATATTCTAACAATTCCATTTCAGGCCTCAGATAAGCGTAAGTAACATTCAGATAAGCCTGAATTCAGCACTCTGCTAGCCCGTAACTCAAATAGAAGTCCTTCCATTGGCTAAGGAGGCTTACCCCACATCTTAGGTAATGCCTTGGGCTCGGAATTATGTATGACAAACCATCGGTGCGGTGCGGCCTCGGACGACTGCTCTTCAACGTCGTCGACGGCGACGACATCTTGCTCTACACCACCATGGCCTCTACACTAGCCCGTCTGCACCGTGCGCATGCACCTGCGGCGTTCCTCATATCTGGTACCTCCTCAATGCGCGCACTCGTTTACCTTCCAAGCCATAGACATGCAATGATGTCCGCCCTCTCTCATGACCGTCCCGCGCCTCCAGCAGCCAGCTCTTCCACGGCGACCTCAACATCAAATTCACAGACCTCGAGCCCTCTCCTTGGAGAGACACCTCCTGTCGTCGTCCCTTCCCCGTCATCTAACAAGCCACCGACAGCGAAGCATCTCTCCCCCCATGCTGCCTCTCCACAGATGGCTGCTCGTCCACCACCGGCACCCAAAGCTGAGCGACCCCGGCCAAAGATTCGTGCTAGACAAGCAGCAATAACGCTGGTACGTATCGTCCGCTCTGTGCCCCTCCGAAACGCTCGCTGATGTCACGCATACATGCCCAGACGCCAGGTGCAGTCGAGCGTTTGCGCAACCTCCTCAAGAGCCCAACCCCTCAAATGATCCGCATCGGGGTGAAGAACAAGGGTTGTGCCGGGCTGTCGTACCACCTAGACTACGTGGACAAGCCAGAGAAGTTCGACGAGGTGGTGGAGCAAGACGGAGTTAAGGTGTTGATCGACAGTAAGGCACTGTTTTCGATCATTGGCAGCGAGATGGACTGGAAGGAGGATGGCTTAAGGTACGTTTTCCGTTGTAGTCCATTTCCAGGTCTTGCTAACAGAGCTTTTTCCACAGTGCCAAGTTCGCGTTCAAGAACCCCAACATCAAGGATGCTTGCGGCTGTGGAGAGTCGTTCACCGTCAGCTAGTTGTACATACGATCAGATCAGATCTGCTTTGACTATTCACGGCTACCCTGGACACGTAGGATCATATCTTATTCTCTCCGAGGGCTTGTGTGCAACCCCCAGTACATTACTAAAATCTATCCTACCTCAGACCATGTATCCATAGTTGCAATATAAGTAGAGGTGCCCTCCTCACTTTTCTTCAGACGTCTCATATCCGGACTTGGTTTGTTCACGGTGCTCCCTTCTGGTGACGATGGGGAAGACGGTTTTCAGTCGTCTTTCGGTATCCCGTCTTCCTCGAACGGAGTTGTCCACGTGAGTGCTGTACTTGTACATTTGCTAAGGTCCTGTGTCTGGATGCGCCATCGCTACGCCGGTGACAGACGCACACAAAGTGATCAAGGACACCGAGATAGAGTTTTCACGCAGAGCACTTATAGTGCGCTTTTCGGTTTATATTCGACCACGCCCTAGAGCGTCTACACTACTGACACCCAACCTCCATCATCCCCCCGACGCTCGTGCGTAAGTCTACTAGCAGGATCACCGCGTGAAGCGCCAGATTACAGAGGTTGGGGAACACGGAGAGGATGAGCACATTACCGCCACATTCCCAGCGTGTTCCCACCACATTCCGCAGGTTTAGAGGATGTCATGGTATTAACTGCCTTCCCCTCACATTCCGACCATGTTCCCCACATATTACTTAGACATTCCGCACCCTGCGTAACATGGGATCAAATGGGATATACAATTTTGTATCTTATTATTCATATCCATTTTTGGTGCCCAGCTTGGCGCCTAGTATTCGTCCCGATATTGGCAGCCAGATTGAATTAGATCGAAATGAATATATATTCAAATGGCGACTCTCCTACGCTACATCCGGACTTCTCTATATATCATACAGACCGGCCCAATCAACCCTAACCCAATCACATCATACCCGTAGCCGCCAGCACAGCGATACTGGCTTACAATTGGACATCAGACACAGCTGAGATGGCACGCGCAATACATGCATATATGCACTCACCATGTCGATATTTGAGTTCTGCTTAGAAAGGATTAGCAGTACACTGTAGCGTTGAAACTGGGTACTCACAGTCTTAATCAAGGACAATCGATAAACGCGGGACAACCTACTAGATGCGGCAGCCATCAGACTTTGGGACTTCACACGCAACACTAGAGACGTACTATTGCCCTGATCAGCAGATGTATTTATGAGAGAACACCTGCATGTTAACACATCAGCTGCCATCCGAGAGTCAATGGTCAGGACGTACCAAGGGGAAGATAGGCATACGGAGGGAATGCAAGAAGTACGAAGTCAAGATGTGGACGCGATGGCAGGTTGATATGGGACCATACGACGACGTCATCGCGGACGGATAAGTAATTTTGGGCAGGCAAGTCCCCCTTATAATAGAAATCTGCACAAGCGGTTGGGGATGTTGAGGGAATCTGGAGAGAATGTGCATGTTCCCACCAGATTCCCATCAAAGGGGGATTTACTGGGGAATCCGTGGGTGATATGCGCGGAATACGCAAATTCCCAGCATGTTCCCCGCCACCGTAATATGGCGCTTCACGCAGTGGATGTTTGCCCATCTCTCTCTTCACTTATTTCCCACAGTAACATTGCTCGTCACATCTCGGCGTCTTACCACCGCACAGCCATGGGCCAGTTCTACGACGAGATCCCTGAGACACACATTGCGTGGATCAAGAAGCAAGAGATGTTCTTCGTCGCCACCGCGCCCCTCAGCGCTGACGGGCACGTCAACGTCTCTCCTAAGGGCGTTCGTGACTCATTTCATGTCGAGAGCAGGAGCAGGGTGTGGTACGAGGATCTCAGTGGGAGTGGTATGTTGCTTCCTTCCTCCCCCAGTGTCGTTCCGGGAACGTCCTAGTCTGACGCCAACTATCACAGGCATCGAGACTATCTCGCACCTGAAGGAGAACAAACGTATCACGATCATGTTCTGCGCGTTGGAGGGCGCGGCGCGCATCTTGCGCATCTGGGGCACGGGCAGGGTGTTCGAGTTCGGCACCCCGGAGTACGAGGAGCTCATTCCCTCGGAGAAACGCATGACAGGGTCGCGCGCAGCGATCGTCGTGGACGTGCACAAAGTCGGCACAGTACGTTCTTCAACAATCTCCTTGCGTCCACATACACATACTAAGATGCGACTCACCTTGCTGCGCGATGACCTAGTCCTGTGGGTACGCCGTTCCAATCTACACCTTCAAGTCCCATCGGTCCGCTCTGCTCACGTGGTCCGAGAAGATGGAGAAGCTCGACGAGGACTTCGCGGCCGACCCCACCGCCTGCCCGCACGGTCCCGAAGCACTCCCCGTCTCACCCACTTCCCCGGGTTCCGCTCCGTACTCCGCATTCTTCTCCTTCTCCTCTCGCTCTATCTCCGACCCCAGCGAGCACGCTGGGGCCACGACACGAGCGTACGCGAAGCGCAGTATGAAGTGGTGGTGGGCCGGCTGGAACCTCCGCTCGATCGACGGCTTGCCTGGACTGGACACCGCACATGTGGTGGACGCCGTGCCCAGAATGGGCGAGGAGGCGAAGAGGGGCTTGAAAGCGCAGGGCGCCGCGCCCGAGCCGCCGAGCGACGGGACTGTGGTGATCTTGGGAAACCGGGTGCCCAGGGCGGGGAGGTGGGAGGCGGCGTTGGGGAGGTTGACGCCGGCTAGTGGGGAGGAGGCTGTGAGGCTGGTGCTGGCTTGTTCGCTGGGAATGGCGATTGCGGCTATTTGTGTGGGGGTGGTGGGAATGAGGACGTGTTGATTGTAGGTAGGTTGGTATGTGCTGGAATGCTTACGTATGATGTCACTCTCAGACCGGGCACTGGAATCACCCTGGGGTGCCAGTCCCAGGTTGCCACTGCATCACACGCACTCAAAGTTCAGAACTTGTAAGCACCATCGCAGATGCTGAGATCAACCATTTTCGTTACAAACGCAGTCCACCGTTCCAAGTAGACGTGTTACATCCGTTTCACCGTCTCCATCTCGATTCCCGCCGCCCATGTATCAATCTCCCTTTCCTCATCTGCCTCACCAAGAACTCACTCTCGAATACATCCCTGGACTCGCCATTCGCTGCTCCGAGACGGGGGGGTCCGCCAGGTCGATTGACGCGTCAGCAACTGCAAAGACGACGCACTTGCAGTCTCGATTCTTTCTCCCCTTCGCTCGCGGCAGCCCGGCTCGGGATGACTTGTGCCTAGCTTCTGCAGAACCTCTCAAATTCGGATTCGCCACAGCTTCGTTGTCGCAAGTTCATTGATGCATGCCGGGAGACAGCTTGATAAGAAGCAGGCCGCACGGGGGGGCAAGAAAGTAGCCAATTGCTCCCAGCGATTCTCTCTTGCCCGTCGCACTCCGAGTGCGAAGGATGCCGTGAAAGATCCGCTGCAGATCCAGTACAGTGATTAACGGGTCCTTGGGACAGTCAAATCGTGGTCCCTGTATTATGCTGATCCCTGTCCCTTCTGTTCAAATCGAAGTAGGTAGTTATATAAAGCATCATATGGAGTGTGTTCACCTGTAATTGGGGGATGAACCAAGGGCGTATGAACCAGATCGAAGCAACTGTTGTGAAATTTCCGTTATCGCGCCTCCATGGGTCCTTGGGACAAGCGCTTAATTCCCTTGTAGAGATGAGAACGCTCCTAGCCGACGTTAGCCGAGGCCCGATATGGGTAATTGACATCTAAACGCTCGTCACAACGAGCGAGGGACCACTTGTCCCACCGTTGAAACGAGTATCCAGGCCCTCCCTTCGAATATCACCTCATAACGCTGGGAACAGCATGATTCCAGTGCAATGTTTATGCATAGTGAATTTTAAGAGAATCAGTCATCATAAGCATGCATGATCTTGTCCTGATTCAGTCACACAATTGCTTTTCTCAGGATTTCCTCTACAAAAATCGGGGTAGCGACTTCATGAATCCGTCTGATCACCTGAAATTCAGGGGCAGTACAGGTACAAGGATATATATAGATATATGAATTATTTTTCGGTCAGTGCATTGGGAAGGGAGCGGCAAATCGGGTAGTGTCCCAAGGACCCATGGTGTCCCAAGGAGCCGTTAATCACTGTACTTGTGAGGTCGAAGGCGATGAGCCCCAGCTCATGGGTGACGCTCGTAAAATGGGCGGAGCCCCGGATGGCGGAAGCACGAGTCGCCTCGACGAGCAAGTATAGCCAAGCACCATTGGCGGACTTCAAACCGACTTGGACGGAGGAGTATGACTGAGAACTGTGCTGTCACAGGTATTGTCAGCGAATGCAACATTTCGATGTCACAAGGTCCAACTCAAGCACAACGTGCGCATGATTTTGACGTCCTCAGATAGTGATAGTGTTCTGAACTTCATGATCATATGATGTCCGAGTAGTACTTTGTTGATATTCAGGCAGAGGGACGGCTGGGAACTTAACGGGTACGGGGAGAACCACAAGGCTTTCTCAGTCGCAATATTTGCGCGCGCCATTATGTAATTGCCGGTTTTTCCGCTGTTGTGAAGGCGCCCATGCCGCCTCTCTGCGTACTACCACCGCGTTTCGCCAATGCGACCAAAGGACTCTTCCCACTGAATCCGCACTGCCCTTAGGCTTTCAGGACATAACTGGCGAGATCTCGTCATCAGCTATCTCGCACATCGTTTTCAGGTTTGTACTCATCCGCGCCCTAGCGGTGCACAAAACAACCAGTGACATCTTTGTCCCCAGGCCAATTGCACGTTCATTGTACTTACAATCCCATAACTACAGTCGACTCGCTTCTTACAGTCTGGCCTACTATTCTTTGCGACATGCAGCTCCCTGCTCAGTATCTGGTCGACTCAGCCGACTCTGTAGCTGCTGTAGCAAAGTTACCTACTGAGCTTCTTCGCCAAATCTTCTTATCAGTTGTTTCAGATTGCAAGACAAGCACAGATATTACCCCGTTTTTCTACACAATTACGGTCGACATGCTCTCTCCGCTGAAGCTCACTCACATCTGTCGTCGATGGCGTTCGCATTCGCAATGGGTGCTGTGGTGACGGACTTCGAGTTTCGTGAGCTGGACGCGGATGCCCCGGCTCTCTTTGAGTTTGAGGACCATAGCGTGGCCGAGGTGTGGGAGAACGGGTATTGGAGACATGAACTACCCAAGCATACCTTACCGTGGCGGGATGTGAAGACATGACTTACGTGCGTCCTACTGATGTGAGAACATGTTGTAATTCAAGTACAATGCTATTGACACAAACGTCGCTCAACAATCGAATACAGGAGACACCAGTATGCTGGTGAAACCGGATACAAGAACGATTGGCCGTGCTCCTAATATTCATCCAGGCCTTCGGCATTCAAGTCTGGTTTCGGCTGCTTCAAGGGGGCTTTTGCAACCTCTACGATACCACGGAGAGCGATCTTCATATCGCTCTCCCAGCTGAGAGTAGCTGCCATGGGCAGGCTTCGCATCAATGCCTCCGCCTCTGATGCATATGCCTTCAGCTTCTCCAAGTCCCGTGTCTGATGAAGCTCAGATGCCGGGGAGAGGGCTTCATGCAACTTCGGCGCATTTTTGAACGACCGTCTAGAAGGTTGTCAATAGCTGCGGCATTGAATTGATGTGGATAAGGACTCACGTCAATTGAGTGAGGGACAACTGCATGCTTTCTAGTTCTAGATGTTTCGCCACCACGAAACGCTTCCTTGCCGTGTTTCGTGCTTCGTAGAGATGGTTCTTCAGACTCTCTACAGCCATATAGAGATGAGGGATGGGGTCCAGGAATAGCATGCGGTAGTAGCGGTGCGGCCAGTCCATCTTCCCCGCCTGCGCAGAGAAGGTTGCGAAGATGCGCCGTCGAGTTTCCTCCGATGACCTCCTCTTCACGCGTTTCTTCGCAATATAGCGCTGATAGGCCTCTGCGATGGTTGTCGCGGCAGCGATATCCTTGGCAGTGGGGGCCGTCGGTGCAGCGGTAGCATAATCTGCATCGATCGCTTGCGCAACGTGCTCGACGTCGACCACCTGCTCGGGGACATCATTCTCACCATCCTCTGCAGGGGGTTCCTCTTGGTCCTCTTCCTCAGGCTGTACCGTACTTCGGGCAGCGACTGCGGGCACGAACGAAGGGGCGTCCGCTCGCAATCCAATGGAGGCTGCGCCGGATCCATCTGTTCTGAGGAGCCAAGGTATGTCCTCGAGCCGGTCATACAGTATGCGTCGGACATTGAAGAGGGACTTCCTCTCCACAGGCTTCCCTCCGTAGTGGAGTTGAACCATTTCATCCAGATTAGAATCCTTGACGGAGCGACGGACTACACGAGCAAGCTGGTCCCAACTCTTGGCAGCCACATACCTACTTTCGTCAGCGGCCAGCCATATGACTCGGAAACATCAAGATGACGAGACTTACTCCTCGACTATAGGGTTGAACACTCTCCCCGGCCGACGTATAGCCGCAATTGCTTGCCAGATAGAGTTGCGAACTGTGTGCACGGACGTGCGGGTGTTGTAGCCCCCTAGATCGCATCGTCAGAACTGGTATAAGTGAGACAACGGAGTTACGTACAAAGACAGAGATTCCGGCAGCTAGTCATCATGTTAGTTACTATAAATGGCAAGTGACGAATCGAAAGCTCACATTCTAGCAAAGAACAGTGCCCTGATCTGGTGGCTTACGGTAGAAAGATCGCGTCCCTCGAAGAAAAGGTATGCTATGAATCATGTCAACTTGGCTCACTTTTCAGTTTATTCATTTTATCGCCCTCTTACCCGCATCTTGTCCAGTGTAGATTGGTTCCAGAAGCTGGGTGATCTGCGTCTGGTAGATATTGACCAACTGAGTGTCCTTGATGCGCAGTGCCTCAATGTTGGGCGAGAGACGCAGGAGCCAGCTCTTGGGGAGTGTCAGGTCGTGCAGAGTTGCCGTTGCGCGCAGCCGTGACGCAATGAGCAATGAGCCACAAAGGTGATCCATGAAGTTGGAGAGCACCCCGATGTCGATGGGAACCTTCTTCTCCAAGACATGACTGCGGTGAGGCTTGTTAGCCCGCGGTGCACGACATGTGAAGAAGTGACATACTTCATGAAGAGGACACCCTTGCTCAGTGCCTTGACGTCGCTATTCTGCATTGAACCCAACAGATAATGCACCATGTATCCTTCCGAGTCGCCGCCCCGCATCAATGTAGGTGGTCGGTAGGATACGACAGCGGGTATACGGTGCACATACTCCGAAGCAGCATCGGGATCGAATCTGAAGGCGAGACGAAGGCCTTGCAAGAGACTTGTCAAGAATGCGTTGGCGGGACGGTACGGGTCAAGAGCATAGAGATTATCGCGAACCCAGACTTTGATGACTTGACTGCCCAATGAAAACTCTGGGATCAGCGCCGGAGAGAGGAGTTGCGAGGACCCTAGCTTATAGTACGGAGGGTTGAGAACTTCGTAAAGTCGGCGGAGCCAATAGCTGATGAATGAGTGCGCTGCCATCAGCGTCACTTACAGTATTGCATTGGGATGCACGCTTACCGCTGATGCCTTGCATGTTCGTGATGATTTTCGATCGCGTAGAGCGTCTGAAATATGAGGATCTGCAAGATGTGCGTTCGTATCCGGGTGTTGTAGGACGTCGCGTCGTAGCGTTCCGTTTCAACATGATCCCGAAGACAATCAGCGCGGTTGCATTGACGGAAGACAACGTGAGTCAGGCAAGGTTGTAGAGGACGCAAACTGTAGCACATGTCGTTCTCTTCCTTCACCCGTTTCAACAGGCGAACTTTGAGAACGTGCTTGACTAGCTTCTCGAGCTCCCAACGAGGGACTAAGGTGCCCTGTTCCATTTCGCGTGCCGATGGGGTAAGACGATCATTGTGTTCGGTTGCGAGGAGCGTTCCCTTGGGCAATAGGAACATATCTTCTGTCGAAGGCTGGAGTGCGAACACCTTGCGGATGTCTGGGTCTTCGCAAGGATTGTTGACAGACCACAGCCTCTGGAGCAAGCGCGCATAGACGTAGAATGTCTCGAGCTTCGTCGCAATTTCGGAAAGAGTCGCGGTCTGAAGCTTGAGTGGCACAGAGAAGACGCGGTCCAAACATAGGAACGCCGCAGCAGAACTTGCTCTTGCAACGAACTTTTTGCCACAAGGACAAGCAGTTGCTCTGTATCACGCTTTGCGATGGCTCTGAACATAGAGATCTTAAGCGTGTCGTCAATATCTGGTAGTCTGGCTGATGCGCTTGTATCAATCACCTCGTCACGGAGCAGTTCATCACCTGCGTCCGTCCTACCCAGAGCATTCGTGTATCGCAGTAGTTTGCCGATGACACCACTGGACCTAAGTGATAGCTCGTTCACGGGAACTCCATACGAGAGGCTGCGCCAAAGGCCATCTAGAAGGCAATCCAGTGCGCGCTTCATCGAGGCTTCGTTGTTATTGTCCATTGTCAAGACTCGAATACCCTCAAGTGTGTTGCCCTCGCTGAGATGGACGTCAGCAGCTTCTGCGTAGCGCCCGACGTCTTCGAGGAATTGTGCTCGAGCGACGTCAAGGCCGTAGTCGTCCATGTATTCAAGTGCTTCGTCGTCATTGTCAAAGAGCTCCATGGCCTTCCTGCAGTAATGTCGGCCAATCACGGACATTCAACAAGCAGACGGGAATTGACTTACTTGATTTGTTTCTCCCGGAGGAAGTACAGTCTTGAGACATCTACGATGCTCTCGACCACCTCTACCTGCATCTCGGCTCTGTGCACCTTAATGATATCGACTGCGTCCTCGAACTTGCCCGCCTTCCGGTAGTGTTGAGCAGCAAGGGTGTACTCTGCAGCTAGCGCGTACGCTTGTGCCGCCTTGAAGTCTTCGCCTCCGTCGACATAGCACTGTGCGGCAATTCGATAGTAGGCTTTCTTCTCGGTGACCGCTTCTCGTGCTGACGCAATGAACGCCTCGGCAGCGGCAAGGAAAGCGAGAGTCTGAGACTGATTATCTCCGCGGATGACAGGCCTCGTCCGTGCGACTTCTCGAAGGTAGTACGCATTGGCCACTGCTCTCTCCCGAGAAAGCCCAGCGCGCTCGTAACAGTGCATAGCTTGCATGTAACGACGGTTGTTGAAGAGGGATAGCGCCGTCTTCGCCCAGTCCTCCGCAGTCGACGACATGGCAAGGCGTGGAACGTCCGTACCTGGGGTGCAATTTTGTATCTGATCCTTCTTGGTCCAGACAATCTGATGCAAGCGAATCAGCCGCTATCAAGGAGGGTGACATGCAGAGCACTGACCCTCATTGGATCTGCTTTCTCAGACCCATCGGCGATCCAGAGATTCTTGCGTGCCCTGGTGATAGCGACATACAAGAACTTAAGCTGTCAAAGCACTTCAGTATCAGGGATAGTGCTAGTGTGATACTCGAACCTCGCGACAGACACCACTGTGACGCGCATCGTCGAATCTGGGTGCCGGGTGATCCACTCGCTGTTCCTGAGGGAGGGCATTCAAGACAACTCGCCACTGAGAGAGGTCGACAGTAGAGTCTTCAAAGAAGTTATAAAGGAGGACCTGATAAGATAGCTTAGCATGGTCTCCCCATATTGATGCTTGCCGTACATCGTTGAACTCTAAGCCCTTGCTCTCGTACAATGTCCTGATTGGAAGAACCATACATGAGCACCCGGACACACATTCGAAGAAACCTGGCTCGACCTACATGATCAGCCCGATATCCCCCACTTGGGCTCGCAATTTGTCGCGAGCAGCTTCGTCCCGAACGAGGATACCTGGATGGGATAGTTGGTCAGCAACCTTCTGCCAATGGCTGTGATTCTATGCCCACGTACACTGCTCAGCACCGAACTCAATATGACTTCCCCTAGACATTGAAATGTTCAATGTCATCCGCAGCGTCTGCCTCACGTCTCTACTACTCACGCTTCTCCGAATAGGAATTGCTCGTATCGAACTGTATTCTGATCCCATCCGCTGAAGAAAACCGGTTTCAGCCCATGAATCATGCCCTGTTCAGGAGCCAGAGCATCGATAGCGTGCGGCCAGAATTGCGTAATCAGTTCGATGACGGAGTGGGCGCAATCGACGATGCCAGCGTGCGATCTGTAATTGACCGCAAGATGGAAGGACTCTGGTTGCGTACGCTTCTCTGCGTTTTCACCAGCGTTTGCCTGTAAGATAGTCACTAGCTGCACCCAGTGACAACTGTCATCGATGCACGCACCTCTTCGACTCGGTACAAGAATGCTTTCAAATCATTGAACCGGAAGGCACTGCCGACTGAGATGGTTTGTGCGGTATCTCCTGCCCAGAACATACCGTGTGGATTGCGACAAAGCGTTCTCAAGACTTGAAAAATGACATATCAGATGATATCATTATAGAACACAGGCAAACGATAGTCAAAATGACCACACACCAAGGGCATCGATGAGAAGGTTATCTTGAGCCTCGTCCACGTAGCTGCGGACATCGGTAAGGTACGCCCAGATAAGCAGAAAAGGTAAATGATTCCTACATGAAATCCATTTCCTCGCCTGGAACGCCATTAGCGCATAATGAAGTGATGAGGGCATGTGTCCTATGACAGGTCAGCCTACGTGAAACCATGTCGACACAGGTTCTGTACCTGTCCGCAGCGTCGTAGTCCCCTCTCGCCTTCTTCTTTTACAAGTACGCCTCATATAGTTTGTAGACCGTCTCACGTTGGTTGGCGAAGGTGCCTTGCGTACGGTGACTGAGGCCATGGTACATGTCCTTGGAGAGATGCCCTTCAGGACGTTCTAGGGCCAGCTCAGATCCCTTGATGACACCTATCGAGTCATGAGTTAAATTCTTACTTGAAAAGAAGGATGATCCCCAGCGTGACATACCCATGAACTCGCCGAAGACAAGGGATGGATCTGCCAGTGGGATCAGCACAATAAGGACTTCTATTACCATAAGTATTTGACAATCTCTTATGACGCACCAAGACCCTTAGTCAAGGCCTGCGGAAAATGCAACCAGTACTCTTCCAGGAACGTTCCGTAAGAAACGAAGGAGGTGCGACGCTGCTGCATGTAGTCGTTTGATAGCGCTGTGTCGCGTTCGCCTGGCTCGTGCACCTCGAAGGCATCTTGTATTCCGCGGGAGACTGCTGCCTTCTTCTGAACATCCTGTTCGATGTGGCTGAATTCGCTTTCGAGAAGTCGACAGATCTAGCCACGAGGCGATATAAGTGAACGCAAACCGGGCTTCCGCAGAACATGGCGTACGTGGTCATACGTTAGGAACATCGGAAAATGCTCCTCCTTGAGCGCACCATAACGCTTCGGCAGGTCTCCGCGCCAACAAATCTCCTCGTCGCGATCGACGAGGCCCTGCTCTTGCTGTTGCTTCTGGCGCGCCGCAAGGCTCTTCAGCTCAGCAGGGGATCGTGCGGCCGTCGCGAGCGACTCGAGTAGCTTCGCGAAGTACTCTTCGACCTTCTCGGCGAGCACGCGCGACTGCGTGACGAAGAGCTGCCGGAGCTTCGGCATAGCGTCCCGATGCATCTCCCAGGCGCGTTCAATCCCGAGCATCTTAAAGAGCATCGTGGTCGTTTTCCTGCACGATGTCAGAGTATGCATGCGGATAGTAAGAATATATGTACCCTGTGCCGCTTCTGCCTGCAAGTTCAAGGTAAGCGACTATGCATTTGAGATGAGCATCATCCATACCGAGGACATAACAGGAGGAGGGGTGTTCGATGATCTTCTTTTCCTGGGGCCTACAGTACATGTTACACAACGTTGACTAGACGGGTTTGGGGGACACGTACGTGATCTCAAAAACATGCGCCACTTCTTTGTCGGCGATTATACTGTTTAGAAGGGCCTGCACAAGCGTTATTCGCTGGAAGGCAAGCGTATGATAGCAGCATACCTGAGAAAATGTGACGAACTTCTCCAACCTAGACACCAGACCTCAGTATCCAAACCAGCAGTGCTTGATAATAGGTACGCACACGAGCAGCGAATGGAGCTAATGCTAGCATCAATACATGCAAATGACAGGCGTCGTGAGCGACTGACCTCTTCGTAGTCCTCCTTCCTCATGTCGGCGATCGCAGACACAGGCTCATACACAGGATTCTCCGCCGGGGGAGGCCAAGAGGCCGGCGTGAAGACAATATCACCAGGATTCACCGGGGGATTGCGGAATGTACATCTGTCGGTGTCCACTCGTCAAACGATGGCTCTAATGGAGGGATAGAAGCACCTCATACCTTTTCTTGTACTCGGCTCCTTTTCGCTCGAGATGGCGGCCCATGCAATCCCAGAAACGACGGTCGAGCTGTGCATGGGTGTAGATGCCGAAAATCTTCAAGACTGTATCGACATCAGCACCGATGTGTGGATCCGATTTGGTACACTATCTACGGACCTTGCCGTTCAACCTAATGAAGAGGATACTTCAGTACGTGACGTATTGTTCAGATGTAAGTGAACCTACATCGCTCTCGAACTCCGGTACGCAGTCCACTTGGTACTACCTACAAGTGAGCATACACGGCTCTGTCAGAGTGGATTCCAGTACGTACGACAAGGCGGGTGTCGCCTGTCATCTTGGCTTCGTAGATGGGGATCTCCACGTCCAAGCCAGTCAGCCGCTTCTGGTTGTCATCCGAGAAGTGACCATTAGACAGCTCCCTGTGGTCGGCTTAGCACATGCGCACGTACACCTATGTGAGTGAAAGGCGAACACTCACTTGATTTTCTTGACGAAAATCTGAAACAGCTTTGCGTCCCGACGCCGCCAATGTCGCAAAACCCTGTCTGCGCGGGTAGAGATGAGGATGCGCCATTCCCCGAACCCTTCCGCACTGTCGAAGTATAGCGCAGCTTTCATGGGTTGGACAAGGGGATAGGCAGGGGGCACCTCGACCTCTTCAACTTGGACAATGTTCTTGTCCATCTCTGGGACATCAGGCACTGTTGACGCGTCGGACAAGTCAGTAGGCGGAGGGAGAAAGGCAAGTTTGGCAGCAGATTGAACGGAGGGCAATCGAAGGTACTCCAAGTACGTCTAGGTTATGCTGTCCATCAGTGCGAGAAAAGGAATGAGATAATGAGGACGGACCCCTAGATAGCGTCTTTGATCGTTCAAGATGCTTTCGCAGAGCTGTGCGACTTCCGCTCGAGTCTGCGGAATCTCTGCGCAATAGCTGGTGATCGCTTTAACGTCGACAGGGGGAGCGCGTGGAGCGCGTCTGGCCTGCTTCCGCTTGCTTTGACCCTTGCGCTTGACCGCGAATAGGAAGTCCGCATATTCGCTGAGTTCGTCTGCCAGCGGCGGTTCTTCTTCGGCTTCGAAACGCAGCCGGCTGAGGGCTTCCAGAGCCCGTATAGCAGCTTCAGTCTGTTGCCGACATACCGTGAGGGCCTCCCGCGAAATGTCAGGGGATGAGGAACTTGGTAAGAAGAGATAGAAGAGCGGCAGACGCGTGAGCAGCTTAGCAGCAAGAGACGACGAGAACCCTTCGCTGGTCTTGGAGAAACGTTGGAGGATGGTTGCCGAAAGTGATCGGAAGACTTCGTCGTTCACAGCTGAGATGGAGGGCATGAGAGCATTCCAAATTGTCGTGAATTAGAACTTACCGGATAGCACAAACTCGAGGAGATGCGGTAAGCGTTCGAGGTGGGCAAGAGCTTCGTCAAGAGCGCCGGGCGAGTCTATGTCTATGAGGTGCCGCTCAGTGGCACTGATTACGGCCTCTACAGCTACCTGATCGTCTATCAGCTGTCTGTCGAACAACGCTGGTACGGCGTCGACGATAGAGACACCTCCCGCCGCGGGAGGCTTAAGCCTTGTAGGCGAAGGAGGATCCAACATAGTGGACTTGAAACTCGTGAAACCGTCTCCGACGTCGTACTTCGACGTCGGTCAACTGCAGTCGAGATGACCGCGCTCGGAAATATAATCTTCCGAACACGTTTAATGAGTGTCTTGCTGGTTGCGGATCAAGCCTCCTTTTCACAAAGAGGCTCAGCGAATAGGTCTCCTGGTTTCGAGACGATTGATACCGTTTCGGTAGATGGTTATCGCGAGAAGTCTACTGCAGTTCCAGTGAAATCGGAAGCTACGAGGGCAATCGCAGCTGAGCTTGAGCGGTGATCTGTCCCGGTGACGGTCAGAAGCAACTTGCGGTCAATTGTATATGCGGGCGTTATCCCATGTAAGAACACTTTCCCACGGTTAGACCCTCGATACTCGATGAGTCGATGCCTCTCAGACTCGTCACTCCTCTCAGGCTCTCTGATGCATATGGCATTTAAGCCTCGTTCCACTCGATCTCAGAGCCATCTGTGATTCTCTACCATACCCCACTAGAACGGAGCCACGATACATGCTATCACAACGCGCGAAACACGAAATCATACACGAATCGACAAGTTGGCAAAGTCTGGCAGACTGCCGTTACCGCCGGTACTACTATGTGGGCGATGCATCTCTACCGCTGAATGGCGGATCCTACTTTAGACTCCAGATGCGGTACCGCGGAGATCCTCAGACGGCGAATCCTCTGTTCTCAGCGTCCTCCAGCTGCGGCGCTTACTCCAGTGCGTGGCAAGTCAGCTTGTGCAGTCTCCAGTCCTTCGTCCACAGGAAAGTCGTCCCAGAGTCATCGGTCGTCGCGTCCTCTACGTGCTTGATCAGTGATTCAATGGCACGAGCGTGCTCTTGCAGCTTCTTCACGTCACATGACTTATGCACTGTCGCTGAAGGTACGAGTGCCTTGTGCAGACGGCATGCTTCCTTGAAGAGTCGCCTGTGGTACGTGAACGATCGAATCACGTCCTCGAAATCAGCGCTTCTACTCACGAAGTGTTGTCCAGGGCGGCGTCCACACCCTCAAGGTCCGTATCACGGGCGTTGCGAAGGCTCTCCTTCGCGGTAGCCTTTGCTCTATACATGTGGTCTTTGAGACACTCCGTGACGGCGAAAAGATTCGGCACCATTCCTAGGAAGAGAAAACGGTAGGGAGAGCCCCTCCATTCGATGGTCGGTGACCTAGCGAGGAACTCCTTGTAGATGCGACGACGCATTTCCGTCGATGGATCCTTCTCTGCAGCCTTCCGCCGCACGTATGCACGGTACGTTTTGGTGATCATGGATGTCGCCGCCATCTGCTGCTCGGTGAACTCAATCTGAATTGGCTCGATCTGCTCGCTGTCCGCTGCTTCGGGCCGCTCTGCTCGATCATCTGCTGCTGCCTTCGTACGGTCTCTACCCCTAGGCTTCACCTCAGGGGTGGAAACTGTGTTGTCTTCCGTACTGTCCACCAGGCTCGAAGACAGCTTCGCGATGTGGGAGGCATCGAGGAGTGGAAGTATATCCTCGGTCTTCGTATACGGCACCAACCGAACCCTAGACGATGTCTCCTGTGATCTGGCTGAAGAGACATGTTGTAGCTGGACAACTTCGTCCAACGTTGTGCCAACCATGGAGTCGAGGGTAGTCCGTGCAAGGCTTTGCCAGTCCCTCGCGTAAATGTACCTGTAAACTGTTCTAAGAAGCTACAACAAGCGACGCTTGATTGTAGCACGCACGCAGAAACTGCTGGACTCATGACACCTCCTGCGACGTTTCTGAACCCTGAGATGGTCCCTTCAATGGCTTCACGCAGCTCTTGTATGGGCAAGTTGTACCCCCCTAGGGAAAAGACACGGGTCAATTACCGTTGACGCATTGAACGATCGCCGTTGACCTACAGTATACGAGGTTCTGACAGCTGTTCAAGCATATCGTAAGTTCGGAACAAGAACCAAGTACGAAGTGCTATACTCACATCTTCACAAAGAATACAGCACGGATCCTGTTGAATTTCGGGGAGGACAAGTCGTGAGTTTCGAACAGAAGGTGAGCTGTCGTTTCAGGATGCGTGAATATGCTGCTTTGTTTATGTCAGGATTCCCACATGACTCTCTTACCAGCGTTCTGTCCGGTGTACACATCTCGGAGAAGCCGCCCCATGCACCCCGCGGCCACGTACTTCGTAGACCTATCAGTCTGCATCGCCGACAGCTGGTCGACGTCCTGTACGAGACGCGTCAACCAGCTTTTGGGCAGAGTCAGGCCGTGAAGGGTTCCCCTCATGTTCATGTAGATCGCGATGAGCATAGAGCCACACAGGTGGTCCATGAAGTCTAGTAGAACACCAATATCGACTCGCAACCGGTTGTAGAGCACATGGCTAAACAGATCGTCAATATCGAGTCTGTGAAGGGCAACGAGGGGCGACATACTTCAGGAAGAGGACGCCTCGGTCCAGTGCGTCCGGGCGACCACACTGCATGGCGGCAAGCAAATCGTGTACGATGAAGTAGCCCCCGTTTCGCAATAGGTGCAGGGGCCTGTTGGCACGGTAGCGGATCGCACACGGGATGCGATGCAGGCTATCAGAGGCGACGCGCCGGTCAAATAGCATGGCAAGACGAGTCGTCCGCATCAAGTTCACGAGGAAGACGTGAGTAGCGCCTCTGTCATGGGACAGGCGATTGAGATAGTCTTGGCACCAGACGGCAATGATGCGTCGCCCATGAATCAACTCCGGCACTGCGTCAAGAGACAGCGCGTGCAGGGTGCCGATGGCGTGGTGATTGGGGTAAAGAGCCTCATACAATCGTCGAAGCCAGGCTCTGAGGACGTTATGTCGGTTAGAATACTCAGCTATGACGAGAGGAATCGAAACTGGTAGCTGAACTTACCTCTGCTGATGAACGAGGTCCTCGTAATCAATTTCCGTGGCATAGAGGGTGTGGAAGATCATGATGTGGAGGATATGGATGCGAACCAGGTGGTTGTATGTTGTACCCGCTTCTTGGGGTGCTTCCATGATATGGAGTTGTGAACATTGTCGTCTTGGGCATGACTGAGTGGAGGCGAAGAGCAAACACGTTCGCAAGCCAGGCATGGTATGACACATCTCGTTCTGGCTCCAGACCTTGTCCCTTAGTACCTCCCGAAGCGCCGCCCTGATGAGGCGTTCGAGCTCCCACCGAGAGATGTGGATCTCAAAGTTTGGAGTGTCCTCTTCGACGCGTAGGATTTTCTGAGCCGGGATGTAGAGATAGGAGACTTTTGGTAGGAAGAATAGCTCCTCGCTGTCGTCGTTGAGCCGTCGGAACGCGAAGAGCTTCTGGATGTAAGGATTGCTGCATGGGTTTGGATCACAAGAGAACCTGGAGAGAGAACGGGCGTAGATGAGGAACCGCTGAAAACAGAGCGCTATCTCCGATAATGTGGCAGAAGCAAGACCAAAGTCTTGAGCGAAGACATGGTCCAGACACAACAAGGCAGCCGGGTGGTGCTCTTGCCTAGCATGGAATAATTCGCCGAGATGGGCAAGAGTGGCAAAATCACTCTGCCAGAGTGCACGAAACATGGCGATCTACGACTGGCGTAAGTAGACTGTAGGTCCCGAAAACCTGCTCAGCAGCTCACCTCATTGCGCAAATCATCATCTTGAAGCTCTGGGGCAATGACTTCAGCATGCTCCAACAGTATGATGATTGTCTCGTCGTTCCAGTTGTCCTCGGGCGCCCAAAGAGCAAGATATAGCCATAGACCGTTGAGAACGCACGTTGCCGCCCTTAACAATGAGTGGGACGACTGATGGCGTTGATAGTTTAGCAAGAAGAGCTCAATCGCCTTGAGGTTGTTGCCTTCGCGGAGGTGGCACTCGGCAGCGTCGTCGAACTCCTCTCTCTCCTCATGAAGAGTTGCACGTGGAGCATTGAGGTCGCGATCGTTCATATACTCGAAGGCCTCTTCGTCGTCTTCAAAGAGAGCCCTTGCTTTCCTTGAGTATCACGACTGTGAGCTTCACGGTACAGTCCTGAGCGAGAGAGACTGACTCAAGTTTGTTCTCTTTGATATAGTACAGCTTTGAGACGTCGATAATACTCTGAGCGACGTCAGGACGAACGTCAGTCTCGTGGACCTGGATAACTTCAACGGCGTCGTCGAACATCCCTGCTTTGCGGAAGTGCTGAGCAGAAAGTGTGTACTCTCCCGCATGTCGGTACGCAGCGCCTGCCTTACCGCTGTCTCCGCATCTGACATAGCACTCTGCAGCGATGCGGTAGTACGTGCGTTGGTCCTCAGGCTCTCCTGCTCCTTGGGCGGCAGCTACAAAGCCTTCAGCTGCCCTAGAGAAAGCGGCCGACTGAGACAGCTCCTTGCCACGTGCGTTGACAGGAGACATGCGGGCTGAGTCTCTGAGGTGGTACGCAAGTGCTACCCGACGCTCTTGAGCAAGACCAGCGCGCTCGAATGCATCCACTGCTTCGGAATATTGGCGCTTCACGAATAGGGAGCGGGCCGCATTCGCCCATTCCTCCTTTCGGGACGACTTTG